ATTCGACACACCGCAACCCATAAGGGTTTATTTTGGCTCACACCTATTCACACTCGGCCAAATAAACCCAGCTTCTTAACGAAGCCGATTAGTTTGTATGGTGAGTGGTCTCTCAGGTTAGATGGTAAGAGTACGGATCTGCCGAACTCAAAGAACCTGATTCGGTCCACAGCGGGGCAGGCACAAAGTATATGCTCTGCAGTTTCATCATTTTCCAGACAGAGGCGACACACACTGTCTTCCGACAGTCCAAGTCTCTGCATGTGATGATTCAAATGACAGTGACCTTTAAGAAGGCCTGTTAGACATCGTAGTTCATCCCTACTGTAGTCCAACAACTGTTTGTTATCAAGCTTCGAAAGGTAAATAATCGCCTTGGAGTGAGCCAATCCTGCAAGAATCTGACAGAAGTCCATAACTCTTCTTGCCATCCAGGTGTTAAGTGTTTGTTTGGCAAAGCCCAAAGTGATGCCAATGACAGGTTCTGGTCCAATGAAGCCACTTGCAGCACCCTCCTTTGCAAGAGAGTCAGCAGCTTCATTGCCTTCCGGGCCAGTATGGCCAGGAATCCAGACCAGAGACAATCTGTTTAGTCTTCTTATCGAGGAGAGTCTTTTTTGGCAGTTTACTACCAATTTAGACGTTGCTCGGTGGGAGCTGAGAGCTTCCAACGCTTGACTGTCCGAGAATATTTTTATTGACTTGTGAGTGAGGTTGGATTTATCCCATCTCTCTGCACACAATTCAATAGCGTAAATTTCCATTTGAAATACAGTCGCATAAGTTCCTAGGCAGGTAGATAACTCTGTCCTGGGTCTGCGACTGAAAACACCTGCACCAGAACCGGAAGGTGTTTTTGATCTATCTGTGAACCAACAACTATCTGCTCTTAATATTTCCTTCTCTCGCAGGATTCAGTCCTCTCTATTCGGGAATAGTACTTTATAAGGCAGTTGGTGGTTGACAGTTAGAGGCATAAAGTCAGAGGTAATTTCCAGAATGCTGTGACTTCCAATGTCAACCAACAGTTGAAGTCTGTATGTAGTCCATCTAGCCTCTCCTTTCCAGAAAAATATGGAGAGGAGGTAGATCTAGAAGCATCTCCATGGCCGCCGACTGTGTGGTACTGATGGCACCACTGATAGCCAGACAAGCCTGTCTCTGTAAGCCAGAGAGCTTCGCTTGGGCCGTTTTCTGTAAAGCCTTCGGCCACCAAGCAGTTGCACCATACGTGATCATTGGTCTGACAATCATCACATTATCTTAGGTAGTAAAAGTTTGTAATGGGTTTTTAGAAAGTGTTCATCAAGCATCAGTCAAACTCATTGAATACTGTTGTTTTTTATTCATGTTGAAATCTCAAAATGGGGAACTGTTATCTTTTTTTTATTTTCGAGTGTTTGTAAATTTCAAAATATTCCAACAAAAATAAAATTTTTGCCAAAATTAATTCACCTTGCAGGCTCAAACACTGCTATTAAGATTGTGGATCAGTTATGATATCAACATCAATCAAGTAGTGTTTCTCTATTTGGACTTTGATTACGACATAACCTTTATTCCTACCGATAAACTTGATCCACTTTCAAAATCCACCTTGACCCAATCAGTGATCCACCCGTGAATTCGATGCTTTTTCCAAAGAAATACATTGAATTTTTGGGCATATAGACCTGCTTCAACACTTGTTGCCTTTTGGCTCATAAATGTGTCTATTTTCAGCTAAATGTTCCCTCGATATTTCTGTTATCCGCTTCAGCATTCCGATGTCATGGCGCCGCTTTACCCGCAATTTCCAACGTCAAATTAATTTCGGACCTGTAAGAATGGCAGCCGAGCCAGTTATGCCTCTCATAACATATTTTGACGGAGAAAGAAATGGATGAGAGGTTTTTGGACTAGGTTATGTGTTGTTTGGCGTTATTCAGAGATTTTAAAATAGGGTAACTCGATAAAAGTTACTTAACATGGCTGAATAATACATAGATTGTTGATGCATTCTCGTGCCAACCAATCACTTACGAAAACGTAAAAGGGCCACTCTATCTTCATTTTTTTTTCATAATTCCGATTCTAAACTCGCAATTTTGCCTTTAAAACTTGAAATCCCGACTTCAAATTCAGAATTTCCAAGAAATAACACATGACTATATTTATTCCCTCTACGCACACATAAAGTTGAGTAGCACTTGAAACTAAAATTTCCTACGGGGTAGAAGATCATAATGAAGAAAAAAGAATTGAAACTTTTTGTTTTTACCACTTTTATTTGTAACTAACGTTACTGCAGTTTCGTCCCGTAAGAACATTTTCAAACTTATACATTAAACTGTAATGTAAAGTATAATGTATAAGTTTGAAAATGTCCTTGTAGGACGGAACTGCAGTAACGTTAGTTCCAAATAAAAGTGGTAAAAAACATCGAAAGTTTTGAATTCTCTTTTCTTCATTAGAATTTCTATGCTCACCAAAAGTTTTGTGAGGATACAATCAATTTCTAAGTAGGTGATATTTTTCAAATAAGCCCAGTGAATAACCGTTTTCCCCTATAATTTTGATAAACATCATCGATGTTCATGAAAAGGTTCGACAAAGTTAACATTATACTGGATTCTTTCTCGGAGGATGAAAAATGTTTCATTGAAAATAATTTTAAAAAATTGTATAATATGAAGGTTTTCTTAAAATTCAATAATTTTCGACTTATTCGCGAGTGAGTATAAATTTCTCTACTATCAAACCCACGTTTTCGAATGGTTTCTTTTTTTTCAAAAAGGACAAAACATAAGCAATACATGAAAATTCCTTAAGGCGCTCTAAGAGCGGTGCCTGTGCGAAATTAGCGATTCATTTTGGATTTGAATCGCTGGAGATTAAATTCATTTGGAAAAACGTTATCAGGAAGTTTATACCACATAAACGCAGTTCTCCGAATGGAAGAGTTCTCAAACAGTGAAGTTCGAGGTGTTCTGAGTTGAACCTCAAAACGATGAGCAGCAATAGTCCGTCGCGTATTTCTGGTGGTGGAATCAAATGTGCCAAGTCGCTTGAACACCTCCCGTGAAAGTATCTATAAAATAGAGACAAATCTCCAACTTTTTTTTATCATTAAAGTTGCAAGTTATGTTCGTGTCTCCAATCAGACGAATTGCTCTTTTTTGGATGGAATCCAGCAGCTTCAGGGTATGCTTAGAAACAGAACTTCATACATGAGATCTATACTCCAAATAAGGTCTGATCTGAGCATTATGAAGAATCAAAAGTTGCTCACAAATAACTCAAAATGTAGGTATTTTTTCGAAAAAATCATTTTACATGAAAATATAGCGTTAAAAAGATTAAAAAGAATGATGGAATTATCGTGTCCGTAGATCTAATACGAACGGAGCAAGAGCTTGTTGAAGTTTAGTCTGCATTTGTGCAGTTTACTGGAAAAACTCATGATACCGTCTTCAAAGTGCTGAAAAAAAATTCCATTTATATTTTTCATAGAAGTCCTTACATCAAAACTGAGAGAGCTATGACGAAAATAATATTGATCCCTATTTTATCTGACGAAAAAAAATCGTTAACATTTCATAATTCACTTCATTCAAAAGCATTTTTATGATCTTCAGAAAATTGCCTTATCTTCAAAATTCAATTTTCAGTTCAGTTGAATTCGATATAACAAGATACTCAGATAAACTACAAACATTATTATAACAGTTATCCTTCATAACTAAAAACTATTGGCGATAATAGTTTCAATGTTTATTCATCAAAACTACAGTTATTTGTTTTTGAGTTATTTCGAAGGAAAGGCAATTTTTTGCTATTTACACTTCAAATTTTTTTTTCAAAAACCAAACACTTTGAATCAGTCAAAGTTCTAAAGTATATTTCAAGTACGTGAATCAAGTGAACTGTAAAATGATAACGATTACTTTCACTTGGGGTGGTAATCAGAGGAGGATTTTCATCTTTTTAGTCGCTTGTTGTGTGAAATGAAGAAAATTCTCATGAGTTCATAAGCGATGTGTGATGAAACATGAAAGCTGTGAAAATTTTGAATGACCAAATCAGTATTCCTATTCGTGAATTCAATCAGTGAGGCTACAAGTTTCGAAAGATACTCTGGAAAAGAAAACATTGAAGGTACAGCGGTTTTTAGTAACTTTGGTGCCCCTAGCATAATATTTTGAATAGATTCATGTGGCAAAGCCAGTAGACTATATTTAATGATAACTTCTTCAAAAGAATGAATTACACATACCATCAAAAATGAAGATAGAATCAATTTTTTCAGGCATTACAGACACTCATTTCTTCATATTGTATGAACTGAAAAACTATTATACATCTTTGGTGTAATTTGAATTCTATCCAGTATTTCTACAACAGCCAGACGAATTTGTGTTCTATACTTTGAAGTTTTTTTCGAAACTAAAAATAAACACTAGATGATTCACCTCACACTTCAAATTCTTGCCGTTTTCCACCAACACTCTCACTCAAAACTAACCAAATATTTGGTTAAGCAATTCGAGTACTTTTCAATATGTTTCAATTTCACATGCGGAACCACAAAAAACTATTGATAGCAGAAATGTATATCAACCTGACTTTCAAAACATAGCATTCCTGACAGTGTTGCCGTATTTCAGTTACCAAGGCAAGTTTCTGAAGTTGGCTGTGGTCAGGTCTGACATGTGACAATTGCCACTTTCCAAGCTTTGTGAACATCAAGCTCTAGTCTGAATGAAGATGTACGTTCTTGTACATGATATAAATAATTTGATGTGATTTGAAGGAATTGAACTACAGATAACTGACTAACTCCATCAGGAATCTCAAAATTCCGTTGCTCATATGAATAAGCTATCACAATCTTGCTTTATCGATACCTAAACTTAATCATTTCTCTACAAGTATAAAAAAAAGGAAATTCAGATGAAAATCCACTTCCTACCTTATTTATATGATAACATGTTTTTAAAAACCAATTTGAGCTGATTTACCTTTCTCCTTATCAGCCTCTTTCCTGTTAGTATCAAAAATCCCCGTCGTCAAGGCCTTCCTCTTTAGTAGGTATGGCCTCCTTTTAGGTTTGGCCACTGCACACGCTGCATTTTCTGAAAACGAATACTTTATTAAAATTAGTTCGTGTATTTTAGCGAATTATTGTAGCAAAGAAATGAGCAGTTAACGATGTAGGAAAATAAACAGTCTCTTCTCAAAATAGCGCCGAGAATAAAAATAGGACATAAAATAAACACTGTTATATTTAATTAGTTATAAATTAATTGTATCGAATAAAATCAGTTGGTTCTTGAAACCTTGTTGCCGATTTGCGTGTGCGATATTACTTGAAACTCCTTTGAGCGTTTGAGACGTAATGGTAGGAACGTATCAAATTCCATTTCAGGATATTTTTTTAGTTTCAAGAAAAGGAGAATAGACTTCCTAATTCTACGCTCCAAATGAAATATTTGAACGTGATTAAATGTTCTGCCCTAATATTGTTGTTGTTTATTGCCCTCATCACATTCATCTTTCACTCCTACTATGGATGAATCTTGAAAACAGGAAGAAAAACAACTTTTCAAGGGTCAATTTTATTACATGCATTTTCGGATCTGTAGCACTTTATTGAATCTGCTTAAAAAAAGTACATTTTTTCAATCCTCAGAAAGATAAATTTTAACAAGCTAAGGATTAACGAGGTTTTATTTTTCAACGTGCGATCCGTAACACGAAATGTCTCCCACTTTCGTAGCTTTTGAACGGGACAACATATCAAGGTCTGCCAAAAGGTATTATTATGAAGGAAGACACTAACTCTGCATCACTTGTCATTCATTTTTCACCGCTGTTTCACGTTTGCGATTCGGATCAGTCGTTCCGGAGTGTAATTATCCGTTCAACATTCGTTTTATGAATCTTCAAGCAACCGATAAATATGATGATTTCAAGAAGAAATATATTGAAAAGTCACTGCAGTGTATATTCAAAATGTTCACTTCCTGACAGTAATTAATGTTTCTAATCATGAGCTCTAGGATAGACTACGGTTCTGCAAAGTGTGAGAGAAGTATGTTCATTGGATGCATTCCGCACTAGAGATTATATCGTTCAATATAGAATTTTTAGTAAAAATTTTCTTCAACAAGAAACTTCTCGTATCAGAAATTTCTGAATTATGTAATAAGAAATTTTCAAATCATATCTTACCACTTGGCGGTTTGACATTCACTCCCAAATTCAAGGCTTGCAATTTAGCGATGGCTACTTTCTGCAAAACTTTCCTCTCTATATCAGTCAAATGGAGTAATGAAGTATCACTCAGTATCACTTGTCTTCCCGTAACATTGTTCCACACACAGCTACCCTGGAAAAGAAATCCGTGAAAAAGTTGATAAAGAAAGCAAATTTCTCTCAAAATATCCAAATCTGAATGAAAATGTGCAGATATATAAAATGTCAACAATTCCTGATAACATCAGCGTTCATTCGAATAAATAAACTTTTTCAGTTGAAAAATTATTAATATCGAAAGTATTTTTTGGTGAATGTTTTGTGTTTCGAATTCCAGTTCCGAAAAAGATATTATCAGATTTGAAATATGTGGGAGAGCAAAAAAAAAGGATGGTTGATATCTATTCATGATTTACACATTTTTGTGAAGAGTTATTTTGAGCTCAACTGTTTTTTCCCTTCTTCAACTGTTCCCAATTTGTATAAATATGGAGAAGTGGAGAGCCCAAAAACTAATCCCTCTAAAAAATATACTTCTACTTGGACTGAGATTGAATCAATTGAACATATGAATGAATTTTAAAACATACGACATGAGTAGATTCAACTCATTCGTGACACAGAGTCGTAATATTATGAATGAATCGAGTGTTTCATCTTATGATGTCCAAAACGATGCTGATGAGGTATTAAGAGTTTCTTGTGTGAGTGAAGGTGATAGTATCCTTCTCCCTAAGACGCCAGGTATAAAATGGACAAAAGATTCGATCTGCTAATAACTAATAAAACGATGCTCCTCAAAGTGGACCGCTGCAAAGCTTAGCATCGATATATTTCGAACATTGCAAAATAAATGAGTGGAAATGGTAACTGCGCAGTTAACTACTGGCTGACGTGGTCCTGTCCAAGCTCATCTTCAGTTCAATCAGGTTGGAGCGTAGCTTCCTTACCCTTGCAGCTGATTTTTGCCAGAAAGACAAATGGGTTCATGACTAAGAGATGGTGGCGGTATGAAAGTCCTCAGATATCAGTACCACCCTTCACGGGGTACCCCTACCTGGCTGGGGTGGGATGGATGAAAATATTTTTCATCCGTTAACGGAAAACATGTCATTCGACAGAGTGTCGGGGCCTTCTATATCGGAAGGGGTCGTTTACAGCCTAATCTATAGCTTCCCTAACCAGCGGAAAACGTGAGTTTCCGCGCTATCAAAAACTCGCCGATTCCTCGACAGAATGGACTGTTGAATGGAAGACAGCTGGAAATATTTGCGGATGGCTTCATTCCGCACGAACCACGGAGCATTCACAATCATCCGTATCTACTTATTTTGTAATTTCTCCAGGATGGAGATGTTAGACGGAGCCGCTTGTCCTCAGACGCCTGAAGCATACATGATGACAGGCTTGAACATAGTGTTGTAAATGGTAATTTTGTTTGTAAGGCTCATATCTGATCTTCTGTTGATCAGAGGGTACAGATTAGCTAGGCGACCCTCGATCTTTGATTTAACGTGCATAATGTGCGGGTTCAAGGTAAGCCTACGATCTATTAGAAGACCAAGGTACTTCGCACTTGCCAGTCGATCTCCCTTCCAGAGATTCTCACTTTTCTGGCCGGAGAAGATAATAATCTTCCCATGGTTATCGCCTGAGTCTTGTCCGGGTTCAGTCAGATCTTCCATTCGAGGTACCAGCGCTCGAGGTAGTCCAATGCACGTTACATGTAGACGATCCCGAGCTCACGACCCATGTAAGATGAGAGGAGACCTGTGTCGTCGTCGTATAGAAATATCTTCACACACTCAGACCTCGGAAGGTCGCTGGTGTAAAGATAGTACAGCGTGGGAGAGAGCACGGCCCCCTGTGTCACTCCAGCGAGGATCTCTCTGTTGTCAGACAGAGAGCCCTCTACTCTGACCTGAAATGTTCTGTCTTTCAGGAAAGACCCAATCCACCGGATCAGGCACCGAGGCAGGTCTAAAGCGATTAGTTTATGCAAAAGACCTTCTTGTCATATACGGTCGAAGGCCTTCGAAATGTCTAGTAAAACGAGATGGACTTTTTGATTTCGATTCAGTTCCGCGATGGTGTTTTCGACCAGTCTCAGAGCTTGTAACTCAGTGGAGTGTTCTCTCCTGAAGCCGAATTATTCGTCAGGCAGAACATTTCAGTCCTCGACTTCTTCGTTGTGACGTGGTCCTATCACAGTAGAATGCTAAAGACCCAGTAGTGTCACTATCCCCACTTTTGTGTCATTTTGTCATGTCTGAAATTTTCCATGGAATTTACCGCTTTTGGCCTACCAGACTGTTGGCGTTTCGCTTGTGGAATCATGATAAAGAGAAGTTTTGTTGTGGCTAATATATTTTCATTTTGCCAGAAATATTCCAAGGCCTAATTGATTTCATATTGTATTCGTCCTTTAAAAGATATGAAAATAATGTTTAGAGAAATGAGAGTTTTGAAATGAAACAACGAAGATGTTACCAATAGCATAAAGTTTGCCAAAGGATGGTAAATAACAATTTCAGCATTCCTTAGTTTGTGACCTATTTCAAAAGATAAGAGATTGAATATGTTGAAAATGTTATATTTTCTACTTATTTTTTTGATGTATTCAAGAGGTGTATTAGTAGCAGATACAAATTATATATTTTCATACAGGGATTGATGAATAATTCAATTAAATTGAATTCAATAAAATCATTTCTCAGTGTCGTATACAGTCTTAAATCCATATAAATAATAAGTGATTGCAACAGCGTTGAAAACACTCGTAATATTCGGAACGACAAACTTGGGATACATGCAGTAAGGAGTGTAGCGAGCGCTGTCGTTGAGGAAACTGACAACAGTTCATTTGTGTGCATTACAATAGTTACAGAAGATTCCTACGCTTTCCGAACTTTGTTCGATTTTAAATGCAAAAATATTGCATTTCATTCAGTTCTGAGCTATGTTCGAAAGTTTGAAGTTGTAAGTCCCTTTAGCTTCTCAATAACTTATTTTCGAATCGATTGCAAAATATGAACTGAACAGACAAGAAGCGAGTAAAAACGTGGAACAATTTGGATGAAAAATTTAGAGTGTTTCATATTATTCTACATTACTACAAAACCCCCTTTTAATTCTCAATGAAATTTGTTTTACTGTCGAGCAGTTTATATCTATTATTCACTTGTTGAGTAGTATATGAAATGTCAAACGCTCACGAATCCATTCTTGACGAGTAATTATGGATGCGCAGGAGTCCTAAAAAAAATAAAACTGTCAGACACAAACATCCAAGATTCCGTTAAGGGTAACACTACTGGTTTTAGCTATACTGTGGTCCTATACGGTAAAATGCTGGCTCTACAATAATTTTCCAGCACTGAAATGTGACCTAATCTTGCTCATTCGAGTGCTCTCTATATAATAGTTATCTTCCAACTGTGTTCATTCAACTCGATACTATCTCAAATCAAATTTCATTGAGAAAAGAATTATAGTGTACATTCACTATCAGACCAATTACTTTTCAATTCATTTCATGGTAATGAATCTTTTGAGATATCAATAAAAAAAGTAAAAACCATGATTGACCTACAAGTAATATTTTCATAACGCAAAAAAAATACTAAATCCCACTTTGTAGAGTTTGAGTAGGTATCTGAAAGTTATTATCCTTTATGAGATGAATTCGTGCTCGCATCGCGTTCGAAACTTCAACTGCACCTGCTCTAATTAAAGTTTTTTCAAGCATTTCATTTTAATTCTGCTTGTAATAATAAAACTTCATTGAAGTATTTTTATCTCCAGATGAGGCAGAATGGAAAGAAAATCACATTAACTGCTAGACCATTATTCAATTAAAATTTTTGCATGTTCTGACATAGTCAATTTATGGAAGGAAATCAGTTGGAGTTCGATAAACATAAATCAGTTGATATGATATGAAGAATAAACCTCCTCTTCTAATGCTATCCTTATTGCGGTTTGAACAACTATGGGGTTGAGGTAATTTTCAAGTATGCCATTATCATTATCATATAAGCTATGGTTTTTGCAAAAATGAGTGAATCATCTTCAAAAACATTCAGGAAGTAACTATCAGAAATCGAAGACTGTTTTTTTCATCCAAAAATTCCCGTGTCAATTTGCCAACTATCACCGATGTTCAAAAAAATTTGGGTTTAGGTTCTTCCTTTTCTCTGCTTGAGAGTTGTTCCTTTACTGGAAGTTGCTTTTACTCTAGGAGTGGATGCCACCGTACCTCGTGAGCAGAAAATGCTTCTTCTAAAATAAGTCACAAAATGGATAGACCAACTAATTTTAAGTAACTTTCGTTTCATAAAGTTTTTTCTCAAATTCAATACTTCTCGAAATATTTGCGAGTTTCAATCTATGAAACCACATTTACTAATGGTTTTGTAGTAATAGCGTGTTAAAGGTTAGTTCTTATATGTCAACCGCCAAATTTATTTAACCTTTTTCAAAATGCTTGATGAAACTTTTTGTTTTGTTTTCAAAAAGTACCTTTGTATAAGTGAAAATGTCCTTGCGGGACGAAACTGCAGTAACTTTATTTCAAGGTGTTTGAAGATGCTACTTCCAACTGAAGGTCGAATTCTTCACGCAATGGGGACTGCCAATGGAATCGCCATTTTCACCGGTTATAGCCAACATATATATGGAGTTTATTATTATTATCATTATTATAAGTGCAGACTATCTCACACCCGTATTTGATTAGGAAACAGCTGGATGAACAGTAGCAAATATTTATTTATATTTATTCTTGACACACATCTCATTAATCTGGATTTCTGAATCCGTCGCTCAGCTGATAGTTTGTGCCCGGAAACGCTATGGCCATCGATGTTTTCAGATTCACCGTTTGATGTGTCACGTTTTTCATCAGAGTGTGTGGGAAAGTGTAATATATCGTGCGATAAATCTGAGAGAGATGTGACAGGAGACTTGATTTTTGAACTTATTTTTTCAGTGACATGATAATTATTCTAATGGGATTGAGAAAACAAGTTTTACTTGAACTTCGTTCGAATGGATTCATAATTTTGATTCTGAGTCAATAAAAATTTTAATGAAACAAAAAGTTGAAGAACATTTATGTTGGAATCATCAGTC